GAGAGAGAGAGAGAGAGAGAGAGAGAGAGAGAGAGAGAGAGAGAGAGAGAGAGAGAGAGAGAGAGAGAGAGAGAGATCATCACACACACAAAATCAACAAAGAAGCGCCACGTGTCCACATGGCACAGATTGCGTCACGGTCGAATGTCTATAAAATATTGGCATATACAACGTGCACAATTAGCATCACAGTGCCCAAAACATGCCAATGGGCCTATTTCCGTTGGTACGGTTACATTCAAGAGTCGTGGGTTCAATTTTTCTCTTTCTCACGTACCGGCTTTGCCATGCTTTGTGCCCTACCATCTAGAGATAGTGTGCCGACCCCTCAGGGTAGTATTGGCAGGACCTTAGCCAACATTCCTGGGTGCAATGCAACATTGTTTGTTACGAGACCCAGCTAATGTAGGCTAAGGGGGGAGAAAAAGGGTCTGTGCTGGGACTGGCCACAGTGTTCGGTGTTCCCCTGTCGGCAATGGCTGCTCAAGCCCACGTCAGCATAATGAGGGGTCTGTTACAGCTCTCTCACATCAACACTCTCTGATCCAAACCTGCCCCATGGGTTAGGGGAGCGGTGCCAGTTGGTGAGTGTTCCCTTGTCGTTTATATACAGTAGAGAGACGGAGCAACGAACAAACGAAAAAGGGTAAATGATGCCCGCAAGAGAGATGAAGAGGGGACGAAGTGACAGGAAAAGCGACGACGGCGAAAGCGAAAAGAAAGCCCCGTATGATGACAATAATCATGAGCATGATCCAGAACTGACAGGACTTACCTTCTACAGCCTCAAATCTGTCCGCAACCACCAGCAACTGGCACCATCTGCCAGCCTTGGCCTTCACAAAGATGCGGTACAAAAGCCGCTTACAATAACAATGAAATAAAGAGCATAATCAAACAGTCGCCAAGCCGAATCTGAGTAATCTCCCCGCAGAATTTCTCTCTCTCTCTCTCTCTCTCTCTCTCTCTCTCTCTCTCTCTCTCACACACACACACACACACACACACACACTACTACCGCTATCTCTGCATAGGACGATGATCAGTGTCCCAAAGGTCTCCTCCACCAATACCTCTTTCTGCTACCCTCAACAGGGAAGGCCTCCCTTTGTTCATCGCCCACGTGTTTTCCTGCTTAACCAGCAACAACTCCCGCCGCCGCCTTTTCCTTAGAACTTCATCCCTAGCTGTTAAACCACCTTCTTCTTGCAGTCGTGCCATTCCTGCGTCCATTGCCATCCCAGCTTTGACTTTCCTGTTTTCTTGCCAATCCTTTTCTGCTCGCCGCTTTGCTTCCTCATTTCGCTGTTGAGCTATCAATGCATCTTCACCGCGATGTCGAAACACCTTCACAAGCGCCTTCCGCTCACAGTCTTTGAACATTCCAAGGTAAAACTGTTTCTGCGGGTTCATCCTATTCAGCCGTTGGAATACGTATCCGAAGCTGATCTGGTCCCGTGACGTCCACCTGTCCACCTCATTAAACCACAGGCACGAGAAGAGGTTCGACATTGGCGTGTGTGCGCGTATGATGACAGATCCTTCCGGAACCTCTGCGGAACAACATCGGCACCCACAGGGCAGAGCGTACAGAAAAAACTCAATCCCCCATCAACTATGCAGAACAAAAAAATCCTTCTGTCAACACATAGATTGACAAAACTTGTCCTTTGGGACATCCGTTAAAATTGGAACGATACCGAGAAAGTTCGCATGGCCCCTGCGCAAGGATGACACGCATAAATCAAGAAAAAAATATCCCAAAAAACACAAAAACAAAAGACTGACAAAACTTACCAGCAGCCAATTTTGCAGTCATAAATTTGACATTGTCACAGCCAAAAGGTGGACTGAGTTTTTGAACTGCACACTACTAGGTTACAGGGGCGCTCGGCTGCGCACGGCCAGGCCACGCAGGCAGAGTGCACAGCGGACAGACATACCCAATCATGAACCATGAAGAACGAAAATTACTTCCATCGATACACCCATTGATTGGTGAAACTTGCCTACATTTGAATTGCACACTAGGCTACCTGGGCGCTGGCTGTGCATGGCCGGACCAGGGAGGCAGTGCACAGAGGATAGGCTCGAGTGTGAAACATGAAGAAGAAGAAAATTTCATCTTACCAGTACAGACTGTACAGAGTGTACAGACTGCACATATGATTTTGCCGTCATGAGATTTAGAGCATACTCACACCAGGTTTTTCCTGGATGTATCCGACTGAAACTGCGGCTTGTCCTGCATGCATCTGGCCATAACTACGTCCAGAGACGAGTCAAAAAAGTCCTAGTGTGAGTATACACTGAGATGGTCAACCCCCAAAATGCAGATTGAGATTTTGGTCCCGAATCTTTCGAATACCAATATATATTTTATATATATCGTCATATATATTGTCATATATATCGTCATATATATCGTCATATATACCGTCAAACAGAGCTGCCCAGAAGACCGTAGGCAGAGAAGGAGAAGAGGACAAACCATACTTGGGGCGCATCCCGTGCACGGGGTCGTGGCACATGTGGTGCAGAGCGCACGCGCATGCACGCTCGCGTACGTGATGCGGCGCATCACCAAAATAATAATAATAATAATAATTTTGAAAGGACAGGGTGGGGTGGCCAAACTTGCCCCTCGCTTCTGAAAATCAAACTGCAAGAGGGAAAAAAGTTGGCGCCACTCCATACCCCAACACTGCGAGCACGTGTGCGCGTGTGGGTGTGCATGTCCTTATTGTGTCCAGTCTCATTTCCGCAGGGCCCCAACGAATTAGCAAGGACCCCTCGTGGAGAAGAGATGAACATTAGACTTCTGGTTGGTCTGCGTGGACCGAGAATATATAGTCTGGATTCGAATCCAGGTCTGTGCATCACAGTTATGGGTCACTAATTCTCTGTTTTCTCGTTTTTCTTTTGTTTTCTCGTTTTTCTTTTCTTAGGAATACATGCAGTGGCCCTGAGGGCTTCTACTCACCACATGCACAAAAGACAAAACATATGCTGGCGTATTATTCCACGTTCTAGCAGAAGATTCATTCTAATTCTGCACATTTGGTTAGTACTGCAGCCAAGCCCTGAGCATCACGTGCAGAGATCAACAGGGCCTAGCGAAGTGAACAACCCATAACTGCTGAAACACAGACTTGAATAATCCTGAGTATATATTCAGCCAGCCCGTGCTCCACTTCGTATTCAGTGCCTGCCTCGATTTTGGTGGAGGGTCTTTGCCAAATTGCTGCGAGGACCCCTCCGAGTACCGGCATAGGCCCTCTGATACGTGTGAAGGGGAGCCTTTGTTCTCTCTCTCTCTCTCTCTCTCTCTCTCTCTCTCTCTCTCTCTCTCTCTCTCTCTGTGTGTGTGTGTGTGTGTGT